ACTTAGCTGATAAGCACCTTGACCTTTGAAGTCAAGGGAAACAAACTCTGCTGAGAAGCAGCCTGCCTTTCCTCTGACCTCCAAAGATAGGATAAGCAGATTCTACCTGATAACCAGAGATTTTAGAAGCTGTTTTTCTCTTAAGAGGGAAAAAGTAAACACTTCCAGACCCTAATCCTACCTGCTTTTCCTGCTTCCCCCTCCCTGATTTCTCCCCCAAACATTCCCCCCTTCCACACCCTAAAGCCCCCATATATAAAGTCCCAGCTCACAACCTGTGGGCGGACATCCTATCCTATCCTTCCCTTTTCCCTTCCCTTTTCCCTTTTCCCTTTTCCCTTCCCTTCCCTTCCATCTTTCCCTCCACCGACATCTTTCCCTTCCCTGAGGGAAAGGTGCCCAGTGCAAAATAAATCTGTATCCCGCTGAGAATTCCATCAGTGCCTAGGTGCCTCCTCCATCAGCTCGTGCTCTCCATCCGCGCCACCCACCCGCTCGCTCCCGCCCGCTCTCTACCTATCATAATGGTCTTGGGGATGGTATAGGGAGGCCTCCAATCCCCTTTGAGAACCTCTTACACTACCAATCCTGTATGCAACTGTAAAACCAGGGCCACAAAGAAAATAAATTCCTCAGTATCACAATGCTGGACCTGAAACCCAGGATGTGTGATTCTTCCCAAGTCTGAGGAGGCAGGAAGGACCAGTTCATAATATTTCAGATAGTGGCAAGCAACCCACTGCTTTCCTGGCACTCACAATACCAGCCCTTTTTTCTACTTAATGTGATAAGAATTCGAATAAAATCTTTCAATATGTGCACAGCAGAGATAAGAGGAAAGAAGCTACGAAAAATCTCTGCAAGTCAGCCTAAGGCTTCACTGGGAGAAGCAGCACCATATTTCCTAAGGGATGGTCAATGCCCTGGCCACCTTGCAGAACAGCTCTCTTCCTGCCCAGCACTGTCATTGTGTGTCCCTCTGGCCCTCTCACTGCATGCAAATACACATTTTTGTTTTTAATTTTCTTGAGACAGGTTCTTACTTTTTTTGCCAAGGTTAGCCTAGAACTCACTACATAGCCAGGCTAGCTTTGAACTTGTGGTGATCCTCTTGCCTCAGCCTCCCAAGTGCTGAGATCATAGGCATGAGCCACCATACCTGGCTCAAAGACACTTCCCTATACCATTCAGTCTACATGAAATACTGCCCTTCAATCCTTAAATACTTAAGGTATAAAAACTCTACCAGAGAGTAAAGCATTTTATAAATTGATGGCATGTAATATAGTATTTAACTACTATTGACTGAAAAAAGGTAAAGCAATAATAAAAAGCTGAAATTAGATACAACTGTATAACATATGGCATGTTATAAAGTAGGCCTAATAATTCAAACAGCAAATAAGATGTTTATTAAGTTAAACTAAGTCTATTTAGACTTTCACTTTTAATCATAGGCCAAAGTAAATTCCAGACAGATTAACTGCTTTTATAAACAGAGAGAAAGCCGACCCTATTCATCATGGCATTCCCAGGCCTCCCCTGAGGCTGGTGTGCAGCCAACTTGGAAAATAAAACAGATAAACTAACTTGACTTCCAACATGAAAGTTGTTTTTTATCTCTGTTCTTCACTTCCAGTTTATAAAGGGTGATTCTTAATGACACCAGCCTCGTGAAAGCACATAAGTTCCATTTAAATTAGTATAAGGAGTCAGGCATGGTGGCATATATATCTGTAAGCCTAGCACTTAAAAAAGAAGCTGAGGCAAGAAGACTATCACAAGTTTGAGGCTACCCTGAGCTACACAGTCACTTGAGGGCCCGCCTACACTACAGAGTAAGATCCTGACTCAAAAGCAAAACAAACAAACAAAAAATTGCTTAAGGAATTACGATTAGAAAGCTGTATTCATTCATGTTACTACTCCTCAAATATGCTTATCATTAATATCTTAGTGCTAAAAACAATGCCAATTTTCTTAGCAGCCATCTTTATTTAATAAAGTAGACTAGGTTATAAGAGCATACACTTTCCCTTGGGGCCACAGCAAAATTATTTTGTTTTGGAATAGGAAAAATTTTCAGCCCATAAACACATCTATTTTTCCTGAATTGACCCTTTTGCCAAAAAGGGCCTGGCTGGCATCCCTGCTTTATGGATATGGGAAATGTTCCTTTCACTGTTACTGTCAAGAAACCTAAAGGCAAGAGACAAGTCCAGGAATTTTGTGGAGGCTGGGGCGGGAAAGTTGGGGTGGGAGGTGTGGGAGGATGGGAATGTTCCCTAGCAGAGCAAAAAACATGGGATTGGAAAAGTCCTGGATTGGACACTGAGAAAAGAATATACTCTTCACCTGTCTCCAAAACTGGAGGCACCATGCTTACCACACAAATAAAAACATTCAAATGAGGTCATGTACACAAAGCCCCTAGCTCAAAACTACAAGGAGTTTGTCAGATAGCATACTTTTTTCCTTCTTTTTAAAGCCATTTCTCTCACAAAGCTTTATGTATAAGGGCTAGAGATGTGGCTCAGGAATAGAATGCTTACCTAGCATACATGAGCCCTTGGGTGCCATTCCCAGGACAACCACCAAACAGACACATCTAAAGCTATACTCTTCGACTTCTCTACCAATACTTCTCTCTCCTGGACCAGCAAGAGAACCCTTCAGATTCCAGGAGAGGTCAGAGGTGAAGACACTTGTCAATCATCTATCTAACAGTCCTTCCACAGTGTATGGTCAACACTACTAACCAACTCTGTCACCAATCATTTTCCCTCACCCAATCATTTTCCTGGAAGGCCATATAATGAGGACCCGATGTTCCACGCAGGGTCATTCCCATAGAATGCTATGTAGCTAAGGCTGGCCTCCAATTCACAATCCTCCTAACTACCTCCTAAGGGCTACAATGCAGGTATGCACCACCACACCTGTCCTACCTTTTGCTTTTCTTTTGTCTCCTGTATTCCACTCCAGAACTACCAATATCAATGTCTATTTTTCATGTTGCTTGATTTGTTTTTTAACTTAGAAAGTGTACTATTTTATAAACAGTTACTTTCTTTGTAGTAGGATATTTTTTAATTAAAAAAATTTGTGTGCATAAGTAATATATCTGTAGTTTGTGTGTAATGTGTATGATATGTGTGTGGGGTTTGTGTGTGTGTGTGTGTGTGTGTGTACACATACACAGGTATGCATGCATTCGGAGGCCACTGGAGGACATTAGGCATCTTCCTGAATTGCTGTCCTTATTCCTTTGAGATAGGGTCTCTCACTGAACCTGAGGCTTCTTATTTCAACTAAGCTGGCTAACCAACAAACTTCTGGGATCTGCTTATCTCTGTCCTCCAATGCTGAGGTTAGAGGTATATGTAGTCACATCCAATTTTTACATGGTTACTGTGGATTCAAAATCAGGTTCTCATGCACCCACTGGGCCATTTCCCCTGCCCCTATTTATATAGTTTTAAAGCAATTCTATTCATTCATTCAACAGGTATTTACTAAGAACCAAACATGTACCAATCACTTAAGCTATAATATGCCTTACCTCACTCACTGAGTTCACAATCTAAAGTTGGAAGAGACAGAACACAGTTTACCTACTAGATTATGAAGAATAAGAAACAAAATTTACCTTGAAGTAGTAATCACAGGCATTTAGAGAGTACAGGAAAACAAGTGCTTTAATTATTACCACAATAAACCCAAGATATAATGTACTTATGAATTGTATCATAATTTAGAATTATAACAAAAACAAGTATTTCCAAACCTCACATCCACTGTATTATTGGATTCATGGTCAAACACTTCAAAGGCTTCTTTGATCTTTTTGTGAATTTCTACCACTATTGCCTCTGTAAAAGATGAAGAAAATAAAAATTATTTTACTTTAGTTGTGAATTCAAAACAAAGATCTTAGTAACTTAACTAGAAATCTTTTGGGGATTTTGTTGGTTTGTTTTGTCTGTTGGTCTGTCTGTTTCAAGACAAGGTCTCAAATATGTAGATCAGGCTGGTCTTTAACCTTCTCAGTGCTGGGATGCCAGGCATGTGCCACGATGCCTAGCTAAACTAAAATGATAAATAAGGAAGAACATGAGGGACTCTTTCCTGATCTCCTTTATAAATCACTTACATCCTTAACTCCCTCTGAAGATTAAGAATAGAACTGGCAAAAGCAACTTAAGGAAGGAAGAGTTTATTTTGGCTTGTAGCTTGAGGCTGCAGTACCTCGTGGCAGGGAAGTTACAACAAAGTTATATCTCTTTTTTTCTGAGGTATAACAATAAAGTTATTGCAATTTTCATATTGTGTGTGTTGTCTACACATATGTATACAGGTATAGTTGCCCATGCATGTGCATGTAGAGGTCAGAGGTTGCCATCAGTGTCTTCCTCTATCATTCTCCACCTTATTTTTTGAGACAGGGTCTCTCATTGAACCTGGAGTTCACTGTTTTAGCTGGTTGGCCAGCAAGCACCCAGAATCCATCTGTCTCTGCCCCCACTGCTGGAGTTACAGATGTACTCTGCCAGCTGAGCATAGTGGCACACACCTTTAATCTCAGCACTTGGGAGGCAGAGGCTGGCTGGTGAGTTCGAGGCCAGCCTGGTCTACACAGTGAATTTCAGGACAGCTGGGACTACAGGGAGACTCTGTCTCCAAAAAAAAAAAAAAAAGGAAAACAAAAAAAATAAAAAAAATACAGAAACACACACACACACACACACACACACACAATCAACACAGTGAATTTCAGGACAGCTGGGACTACAGGGAGACTCTGTCTCCAAAAAAAAAAAAAAAGGCAATCAGACAGATGTACACTGCCACACCTGGCTTTGATATATGTGCTGGGGATCCAAACTCAGGTCCTCTATGTTTTCACAGCCTCTTCCCTTTTCAACTACTGAGTTATTACCCCACTGAGCCATCTCTACAGTCCCCCTAATTTTGATTTTAAAAACACAGTTAATGGGTTTTATATGTGTATATACTACTAAGAGCCATCACCCAGATCTAAATTGGAGACCTTCCAGCCTACCTTCTATCTAAAGTAGTTTGGGTGGGTGCCATCCTAGCTGATGAGCAGGGTAAACCCAAGGCAACAAATACCATCTGCTTCTTAGTAGTGGGCCTGCCCATCCCCTTTGCTCTGTTCTTGAGGAAGGCTGAAGTAAGAGGCATATAAATCAATCCATGGGATTCTTCAAAGAATGTTAAACAAGAGTTGGAACAAGGCTCACTTATGTGAAATAGTGTTGTAGTCAATTAATGTTTGAGTACTTACTATGTTCCAGACACTGTTCTAACTTAAAAAAAAAAAAGTCATAGCAAAAGTCCCTAGCTCATGGTTTTTTCATTGGGAAGGCATAAAAACTTCTACAAATTTGTAGACATATACACTAGGTCAAATGATGCTTAAACACAGAGAAAGAAAGAAACCAGGAAAAGGATGTGAGGAGTCCTAGTTGAAATGCCTACCTCAGATACATGGTGATTGGTGGGGGGTGGGGGGGATGACATGACACATTCTACTGAGCATCTTCAGGAAATTTTCAGGCAAAAGGAACAGAATGTACAGGACTAATTGAAAGAGTGGGTGTGAAGTAGAATCTCTAAGGGCCTTGTAGTTCCTTTAAGGGTTTTGGATCTCCTCTGAATGTAATGAAGAATCACTGGAGGGTTCTAAGAGTAAAGTGACCTGCTCTACTTCTTTTCACCTTGGTCAAGAGGACACCAGAAAAAGAAGGGTGGTCACAGAGACCAGCACAGGGGCTGCTGCAGTACCTATGTCAGATACGGATGGAGGCTGGGACCAGAGGGGAACAGTGGACATGGAAAGATAGGATTCTGGTTATAATCTAAAAGCAGTGCTACCAAGATGTGCTGATAGATTTGCTATTAGGAGAAAAGGGGGGGGGGGGGTCAAGGCTGAGTCCAAAATATTTAGCTGAGTAAAAGAAGGGAGGGCTAGAGATACAGCTCAGTGGTAGGGCACTGAGCATGAAGCTCTCAGTTCTAAGGGAAAAAAGTCTCAAATTTTTACATTGATACCAGCCATGTGGTTACACATGCCGGTAAATGCTATTTCTTACTCTTCATAGTCTAGTAGACAGAATATACTCTTAAGGTAGTATTCAGCTGTAATTTACATAAAAAAGAAGGGAGGGCTAGAGATACAGCTCAGTGGTAGGGCACTGAGCATGAAGCTCTCAGTTCTAAGGGAAAAAAGTCTCAAATTTTTACATTGATACCAGCCATGTGGTTACACATGCCGGTAAATGCTATTTCTTACTCTTCATAGTCTAGTAGACAGAATATACTCTTAAGGTAGTATTCAGCTGTAATTTACATAAAAATATGATCAAGTCTCAATGTTTATGAAGCAGTATGTGTAACAGGACACCCAGAAAGGAAGAGAAGGATAAAGTATGAGTACAGTTTATTTTATAATATTACCAAACAGAAAATGAGCCCCTTACCCCTGCCTCCACCTCATGTATAGGACACAGGAAGGCATAGTAATTTAAGAGTCAAAAAGAAAGAATTAGAAATTTTCATACCACTCATTCTCTTTATTCTAACATAACTACTAATCATATAGTAAATATCTGTTGAATGAATAGGATTTGCTTTAAAAATACACAAAATATTAATGTATTTTCTTCCAATCTTTATATACATCCTTCTATATAGGGACTTCATAATTATCATTCATTCACTCAAGAAATATTTACTGAATAAGTACTATGTACCAGGTTCTGGCTCAGGTACTTTATATATACACTTACAACCACAGAGTCAAATATCTCATTCCTAGAATAAAAAAAAAACAAGACTCAGTGAGGTTCAACCATTTGCCCAAGATCAGAGCTGATTAAGTGGCAAAGCAGGATGGAACCCAAATCTTACCTGCTTGAATCCTGCCCCTCCCTCAACCCCACCCTATTAGTATTCATAATACAAAAACTATAACATGTAGTTACTTTGTTTAAATGTTCTTTTCCAAATTGCAACATAATCTGAATAATCTTCCATTTTTAATGTACAACATGAATATACCATAATTTTTTATGTAATTAAATTTTATTATAACCCAGCAATGAAAAACTTGCCAATTTTATAAACAAAAAAAAAATGAATGGTGCTTCATCACTTAAATTTACACTTCTCTGATTACATGTGAGTCTCAATAATGGTCCATATGCTTATTTGTCCCCTGTTTGCAGGTATTAATTGTCTGCTCCTGTTCTCTACTCAATCCCTACCAGGATCTTCATCATTTCTTAACAATTTGTGTGAACTCCTTGAAAAGCAAAGACTTAACTCCATGTCAAAATTACTGTAAACATTTTAAGATAATTTGGGTTTGGGGGGGTTTAGGGGGAGTTGTTGGCTTTTTTTTTTTTTTTTCCTTTTTGAGACAGGGTGTCCCTGTAGCCCCAGCTGGCCTGGAACTCGCTATGTTAACTAGGCTGGCCTCAAACCCACAGAGATCTGCCTGCCTCTGCCTCCCAAGTGCTGGGATTAAAGACATGGGCCATCACACCTGGTCGTAATTTGTTTTTCTAAAATGAAAATAGCTGCTCTTTCTGGTCATCAAAATCATACATACCACTGGGCATAGTGGCCCAAGGCTTTAATTCCCTAACTCTGGAGCCAAAAGGAAGGGAGTTATCTGTGAGCTCAAGGCTAGCCTGGGCTATATAGAGATTTGAAGTCAATCAGGTCTACATAGTGAAATCCTGTCTCAAAAAGAAAAAAATATTACGTTATTAGAGGCAGGAGAAACAATATGGAAGAGTTTAAATTCACTAAAAATCCTTTCTTCCTACTAAATTTTTGTGACTGCTTGGTATTCAGTAAAAGAGCATTACCAAAAAGTATTTGACTGACCCTCTAATTGTGGATATTTAGGTTATTTTTCATTATTATGATCAAGTCTTTGGTAACAATCTTGCCCACTTCATTTTGTGCAAATGCAAATGTTTTCTATCTCACTGAAATTCAATGGTTGAGGAGGCTGGGGAGATGGCTCAGTCAGTAAAGTGTTCACTGAACAGGCATGAGGACCTGAGTTCAATCCCCAACACCCATGTAAAAAGCTAGGCTTGGTGACACATGCCAGTAATCCCAGCACTGGGGAGGCAGAGCTAGAAGGATCCCTGAGGCTTGCTGACCAGCCACTCTTAACTGCAGCTGAATTAGTGAAGATAGCTGATATTGAGCCCTGCAGAGAGAGAGAGAGAGAGAGAGAGAGAGAGAGAGAGAGAGAGAGACAGAGAGAGAGAGAGACAGAGAGAGAGAGAGACAGAGAGAGAGAGAGAGAGAATAAGAATGGCTGAAGTTGATTTTATTGTTGCTATTTTTTTAAGACAAGGTCTCATGTATCCCAGTCTAACCTCAAACTCACTATATAGCAGAAGATGACCTTGAACTTCTAATCCTCCTGTCTCTACCTCCTGAGTGTTAGGACTACACTTATGTGCCACCAATCCCAGTTTATGTAGTGTCATCAGGGATCTAATCCAGGGCTTCAGGTATGCTAAGCAAGCACTTTACCAATTAATTATATCCCTAACCCCAGAAAAGTTCTTATTAATTATATTAATCATAATTATATCTTGGTAAAATCTCATTGGTTATGCTATACTACACCGCACAAAGTTGGTATTTGCTTTTTATTGTATTGCATTGTATATATTTTTTAAGATTTCACTGTGTAGCCTTGGCTAGCCTGGAACTCATAGATATTTGTCTGCCTCTGCTTCCCAAATGCTGGGATTAAAAATGTGCACCACCATTTGGGGCCAGAGAGATGGCTCAGCAGTTAAGAGCACTGACTGCTTCT